CGTCCCTCACAACCAAGAGTGGCTGAAGAAGACTCTAGCTATAGACAGTGGCTCAGTCACAGAGAGATGGAATTATGCCATTTTCAGGGAGATGATGGCTCTGGAGACCATGCTGTCAAGTCTGAGCACACGAAGACACATATCACCCGTTCTCATTCATTTATACAATGTAAACCCAAAATAGTCGTGATGGTGGTGATGATGTTGACATAGTAATGGGATGTGGATATAAAAGGGGACTAAGAAGGAGTTAGAAGGAAAAGGAGGATAAAAGGAAGAGGCACCACGAGACAAAGGGAATTGAAGGGTATTTTATAGGAAGACATATATGAATACAGTGGAATGAACCTCAACAACATGCTGTTTCAAAAAAAATGAGAGGCTGAGCCAGGCACCAGTGGCTCACATCTATAATCCTAGCTACTTGGAGGCTGAGCTCTGAGGATCACAGTGCAAAGCCAGCCTGCGCAGGAAAACCCATGAGACTCTTATCTCCAATAAACCACCCCCTAAAAAGCCAGAAGTGGAGCTGTGGCTCAAGTGGTAGAGTGCTAGCCTTGACCAAAAAGAAGCCCAAGGTCAGGAGTTCAAGCCCCAGGACAGGGGGGAAAGAAGTGGAGAAAGCAAAGAAGTTACTTTGTGGGGCTGGGAAGGTGGCTCAGTGGTAGAGCGCTTGCCTTGCATGCTCGAGGCCCTGGGTTCAATTCCTCATCACTACATAAGCAAAAAGAAAAAAGCCAGAAGTGGGGCTGTGGCTCAAGTGGTAGAGTGCTCGCCTTGAGCTGAAGAGCTGAGGGACAGCGCCCAGGCCCAGAGTTCAGGCCCCATGACCAGAGCCAAAAAAAAAAAAGAAGTTCCTTTGTGTCTGTGACTCGTCCCCTTGAGCCCACGGTGCTGATAGCAGGCACTCGTTCACCTGGGGTCTGGGTCTCTTCATGTGGCCGTGGGGCAGCTCGGGTTGTTTTCAGAAGACAGGTGCGATGAGTCCTTTCTCGTCTGAAGATAGGCACTCATTCTGAAGGGCAATCCGCACGGGCTTTCTGGTTGCAATCCCCTCTCTGGCCACAGGGTGCGCACAAGCGCTGCCGTTGGGGCATGGGAAGGCATGTGGAGTCGGGATGGAGGAGGGATGGGGAAGGATGGAGGAGGGTGGAGGAGGGTGGAGGAGGATGGAGGAGGG